TGGGAGCCGATGGATGAGTCTGTCCCTCCGGAGTCGGACCAACCGCCTGCCACGGATAATCAGCCCTTACCGCAATTCTCTTTTAAGGAGAAAGTGAAGCGTTCATGCTTCGTCAAGCCGAAGACAACGGATGCCTCGGCATCGGTTCCTTCGCAGACGGCGCATGAACCAACTTCACAGTCAGGAATTCTGCCATTGGAGTTAACATTCAACCCACGAGAGCAGAATATCGTGGACTACTCCCGGAATCATTCGTAACGTAGGTAACGCCATGCGCGCTGCACATGACGAGTATCTACGAGAATTCGAGAGTCTCCGCGATAAGGTGGACCCTCCGGGCCCATCGCATCTGACTCCCGCGCGGATCCCAATTCGCAGAAATCCTGCTCCTGCAGATGTCTTTCCTTTACCGCCAGTTTCCATCAATAGTTCATTTCTGGTTAACCAGAATACTGTTGAGGAACTTACCGCTATGCAGCTTGCATCTGTTTTCCGCTTCGTTGGACAATATGCAGAAGATTATCTGCAGCCCAATACGGCACCTACAGCACAGATGAGCGTGGAACTTCGTACGTCAATCTTGGCCATAACTAATTCGCTCAAGTTGCTTGAAAGAACTACGGACAATGCTGCCGAGCTCATCACGCAACTTGCGAATCAAGTTACCAGTTTGCCGCACGAGTGTTTCAGTTTTTCTGTGCTCACAGCCTGGGCACAAGAAATTGTCCACAGTCTTACCGCTATGTCCGTTCATCGGGATATTCTCCAAGAGGGAATTTTCCCATGTTTCGCGGACGAAGATTACCGCAGACGATTGCAGGATGCAATGAAGAAATGTACCGTTTCGGTCGCCCAAATCACTTCCATACTCACTCGAGCCTCAGGCTTGAGCGCATTTTTAACTCGATACTTACGGGCGATAGAAACGGCACAGATCCTCATTATAGCAGACCTGCGAGGAGGCGAAGCAGACGCCCGCACCTTCATGCAGGACGTCCGCCAAGGCTCCTCCAGGCGAGCTACCAGCATCCAATGCTCATTTCGCCCACACTCTACAGTGGTGGCGAGATAACTTTTCGCGAGAGCTTGATCATGCGCAGACCAAGCGCATCATTGATCAAGTCTCAAAACATGCTGAGGAATACGCTAAGTCCTCACCTCAGCCTTTACCGCAACAGTCGAAACCTCCAATTTAAGTCAGGAGGTTTCGGCCCTAAACCCCCTTCGGTTTCATCCCGTGCTCCTACTACTTCCGACGCTCCTACTTCTCCCCTCTCTCGGGAGGGTGGACAGCCGTCCACTTCTTCTAAAAAACGTAAGCGTAGGCAGCGTAGGAGCACGAGAGAAAGCGAAGTAAAGAGGCATTGTTACGATTCGCAGGGAGCTTCCAGTAGTCGTGAGGGTGCAGGACCTCGTAGAGGACCTTCCCCAACACCGCCTCAGGCAGAACCCGGCGAATCGCAACCGCCTTGCATTTTCTGTTCACCAGAAAACACTTTTCCGCTGAATGCAATTTCTACAAACGCCTCTCAGAGAGAGCGAATATCCTTCGGGAGATTCACATTTGTAGTAATTGCCTCAAGGACCATTGGAGTTCTTGTTCCCGCGAACAACAGTGTCGTCTATGCCAACAAGGCGGTCACCATCAAGCTATTGCGTTCTTAATACTCATGCCATTGTTGACATAGGCGTCCCTGCTTTCCGCTTCTTATGAAGATCTAGCACGAGACACGTACATCGCCGATCGGAGGGAGTATCGTAGGCTTCGTGGCCTTCCTGATGAACCCCCCGAGCGGAGACGACGTTCTCGTTCTCGATCTTATGATCGTGCTCGTCCTCGTGACGACAGAATGAGTCGCCGTTCCTCTCAAGGTTCCTCGCAAGGTTCCTCGAGAGGAGGCAGCCAGAGTTACCGCCAGGCGACCGTACTAAACAGTACGGATCGCATACTTACCGCTTAACACTTCGACGTTTCGTCGGGGTCTTTCTTTCTTTTAGGTGCGGTCGACAAAATGGGCAACGACGAATATGGGCAACGACGATAATGGGCAAGACGATCAACGATAATGGGCACGTGGCAACTACGACAACAACATCTATCCACCACCACAACGTCTATTACTACAACAACTTCGTCTCCATCTATCTGTCAATTCAACATCATTCGTCCATATTCAACACCTACCATCTACGTCTCTATTTTGGTCGACATCGTCCATCGAATGGAAGACTTCGACGCGCAGGAGGTACCTTTTCCTTTCCCCCTTTTCAGAGGAGTTGCCCTTAAGGCTCTCCTCGCCCCTTGTTTCTAGAGTCGCCCTTATGGCGCTCTTCCCCTTTTAACATGTGTGCCTTGTGTATATGTCCCTTTTTTGAGGTGCCCTTAAGGCTCTCATTGTATGTATGTATATTTTGAGGTACTCTAGGAGTATGCTCAAGGCACTCCTAAGGTACTTCCCGTTGGTAGTGTTTTTCTTCCGCTGTATATATTTTCGCGTGTTGTTCTCTGAGACACCCTTAAGGTGTCCATTACTGTTTCGTTTTGGAGACACCCTTAAGGTGTCCAGTGATGCTATGTTCGGTGGTTTTTGGTTTTTCCCTTTTTGGGCAGCCCTTAAGGCACCCCTTTGTTGTCAGAAGTATACGACTAAGCTTAGGGACTGCCGCATTAGGTAGTTATATGTAAGGAAGACCAAACCATCGACCCACTTACCGCCTTACCGCTTTTCATTAGGTTCATTTCAGTCACTCGGTGCAATTGTGGTTCGGGACATCCGTCACGCGCCGTTTCCCGCTGGCAAGTCTTTCCTCTTGTCTCGGGAGTGTCGCGGAACGCGACTGTTGCCCCGGGCTCGCCGAGCGCCTGAGCTCTGTCGCGCCCTACGGCCAAACTATGCGCTGCTCCGCGTCAACCAATAGGCGCGGGCCACGTGATGTCCCGCTGCGTGCTGCTATATAAAGCGGCCGGCGAGAGACTCCGCGCAGCGTTGCTCTCTTGGCACCCTTCCCTGCGGGGAGGAGAATACCTTCTCCTGCCTGTAGAGAAGGTCAATGCCAGGCTCACGTGGAGTGCAGGTCCGAGTAGGCACCTGTCGCTACGAGGACTATCACTCGCGCAGGCCGGCAGAGTAACCTTGCCGCTCTTACCGCGAACTATGTCAACTATGGTCCGATGGATTGGTCGTCCACAACGGCAGGAATGAGAGTAGGAAGAGGAAGTTGGCAGATGTTCAAGGTTTCCCGCAACAATAAATGTGAGTGTTTATAGTTTGTGTTGTTTGTGTTATTCATGTATTAGGGCAAGCACAGGGGAGCGCCAGGGCTGGGGCCCGACTAAGGCGCTGTAGGATGTTGTGTCATGCATTTCGTAGGCTTGTGTGTTTTGCTTAGTCCTACCGGTTGTGCGTCCGGCGGCCAGGGAATCCCTGGTCTGGTCCTTGTGGCCGGGCCAGGGGTAGACCAGCCGTGGGGACAGTGCTACCGCAAGTTCCCCCCACAACCCCCCTGGGATAGGAACCCTGTAGACCCTCGGGGAGCGGAGGCTGCACTGGGGGAGACCAGTGTGGTCCCCGAGGAGGACCCCTGGGATGACGTGAGTCCTAGGTCTGGGGCTCACGGGGACTCTGAACCACCTGGATGCGTCGTGTTGAGGGATCAGCAGGGCGATTGCCTCGGTACCACGACAATGTCATATACAGGGGGGCCAAAAAAAAGTCATTTTGCCTCCATGACTTTCAAGGCGCTATAAGTTACACTTTATTAAATTTTTATCGGACATTTTTACTACCATATTAAAGAGCACATTAAATACTATAATGATACTCCGCCACAGCCTTCTGGAGGAGCGCCATCGAGAGATTCGGCCGCGCGAAAGTGAGTGGGTACCGGAGTTGAGCGAGATCGTTGATTTCTCCGCCACTGTAGACCACCCTGTTGAGCTCCGCCCGAACCGAGTAATTGAGGGGGTTTAGTTCAGGACCCCGCTTAAATACTCCATCTTTTCCAGGTACTCAACGTTCTTCCATTCCAAGTAGGCGAAAGTTTTTCCAACGCCCTTCGATTAAATGTGTTGTCACCCAATCCTGTAGCAGTACAAAGTTTCCAAGAAGGTACGGGCGACGACATGAAGATGGGATATTCTCCTCGAGTTGCTCGATGTAGCCACCAGCGCACACCCTCAGTCTGGGGCCCACGAAGAAAATATCGGTTCATCCATTCCAGGTACGGCCGGTCCACACCATCAACCCGCGCCTTGGTGAATGGGGTGAAGATGATGTCCTGGACCGTAGCGACGTTGCCGGAGCTGCTCGATGTTTGAGGTCTTGCAGATCAAGAGTACTGGTCTCCAGGTAGCTATCCATGGGTGATTCCATTCAAGAAGTTCCGCAGCTGTTTGGAGGCCACGTGAATTCCAAAGGCGTTCTCCACTCAGGCCGCGACTGGAGATGACTTCATATTTTGGTGTACATGAAGGTGAATGGCGGCAGCCGGCTCCTGCTTATAGAGGAAGATCTTGGGTATCTTCCGCCCTGGTACTCATATCCACTTCCTCTGTCTGGGCTGCGAAAACTTCGCTCATATGTGACTCGGCCGGAATGACTTTTTTTTGGCCCCCCTGTATTAATCAGGATGCCAAATAATCCCCGTATACAAGTTTTCATCGATTTTGGTGATTAGGGTTGTTTTGGCGCGGGCGCCACATGGTTTCGGCCCAAGTGGATGTGATATTCATTTCAGGGGGTCAAACTACCCCTAGAGACAAGTTTTCAGCGAATTTGATGATTTAGGGTATTTTGGCGCGGGCGCCAGGCAATTTTGGGCGAAGCGAATGTGATATCCGTATTCAGGAGGTCGAAGTCCCTCTCCCCTGTAAGCAAATCTTCAGCCAAGTCGCCTAGTAGGAAAAAAGTTGGTAAAAAACCGGCCCGGTTTCGACAGACTGGGCTAGGAGTCCAGTAGTGCCAAATAAACACTCCAAGCAGAGTGGGCAAACTGATTACCTCCTGGATGTATGAAACAACTTCTTCGTGCGACTTCCCTTCGATTTCCGTGCCATTGACGGCGATGATCTCGTCCCCAACAGTAAGACCTGCTCGCTCGGCTGGCGTTCCTATAAACGATTCCGTTCAGATTTGATTTCTGTTTCAATGTCGCCAAAATGCCGTCATGCGGCTATTCCGGCCGCAGGTCATTCTCAGTGTTCCTCTATAAGTTAATGTATCTCGTAGTAGGTTAATGCAATGTTTGAGTGTAGCGAAACTCCAGCTGGGTTCCAGTTCCACAATATTTTCCAAAAATATGATTTACAAGCAAGTTCCACCCGTCCATTGTAAATTATCTCTACAAAATCGTACCGTAAAGCCGAACACCATCTGGTAAATTGGCGACTGATATTACAAATCCGTTCAAAGTGGTGTCTCGTTGTTCTCGACGAGTACTTAGTCGTTTAAGAGAACATCTCAGCTCACTCAGAGCTATCGGGATGGACACCGATTTAGACATCTGAACTCGATGATCAGGGAAAAAAGGAGCGAAGTGGTCGCGACACGAAAATCAGGAGAGAAAACGACACTTCAGTGATCGAAAACGACAAAGAGATGCAAAAAGAGGAAAACCGGTGTTCAATGATTAAAAAGGATCCTCAATCTTCCATATGTCTCAAGAGAAGAAAAATGAAAGACGTGGAGAAGCAAAAAAATCGGTGTCTTATTTTGTTCTAAACATCCGAATCATAATCAGGTTTTGCGATATCATACCAGAGAAAATTACTCTGATTAATCATAAAACTGAAATTAATAAATAAATCAATATAATACATTAATAATTAGTAATAATAAATAATTATTAAAATAAATTGATAAATAAAATAATAAAACTAATAATAAATATAACAATAATTACTGTGAAGCTTGAAGCACCCGGTTAATGTACTAACCTTTGGCGGCTGGCTTCCACTCACAGACATCGGGTAAATGAACTTGTATTTGCTAAACAACTTGGCATAACTTTATCATCCCTTATGGGGCGCTACGGGCCAATTTCCAAATTTTGAAGAGAATCGCTGAGCTGAAAACGAACCGACTTTCTCAAGACATTGTTAGGTGTGTCTCAAAGAGAGGCCGATCAGCGCTGTCGCTTGAAGGCATTTTCCCACCGATGTAATGGCAGAGTTACCATTGTGCCTCTCTCGTTGGTACAGCCCTCCTTCTAACACGCTCTACGGACAACTTGAACTCAATTCCTTTGAACGCGTCGAATTTGTGTTTTTCTCTGCTCTCTCTCGTCCGCGTGGCACTCTATGGTCATTGTGACTTCGCACATTCCAGCTTTTCACGTATGATAAGTGGCTCACCCACCCTGGAGTCCCTCCCCTTGAACCGCTTGAAAAAGCTCGCCATAGTTTCTTGAACGTCTCGGTGCTTCAGCAGGCGATGTCCTCTATCTGTCTGCGTCTTTTGGTTTCGCAACAGGACCATAGTTCAAGGTGTCACGTAACCCTTTTAACACAATAAGGGTTTGTGCGACGTTCGAACTTCTTGTGTAGGTCCTGTTGCGACATCATGTAACGCAGTCGCATAGAGGACAGCGGCTGCCAAAGCCGTATATGGTCTCTTTAAAGGGAGTAGGGGGCTCCGGGGTGGATGAGCCACCTATCATTTGTGAAACATATGGGGATGCTTGAAAGTTTGAGGTCACAGTGACCATAAACTGCCATACGGACGAGAGAGCGCAGAGAAAACAGAGGATCGACACATACAAAGGGATCAAGTAGATGTTGTCGGTGGGCATGTGACGAGAGAATCGTAATTCGCTGCGTGGTACCCGTCGCGTGCGACGTCGCGCCCGCAAATGACGATGGTTACAATACGTGACGATGGAAGTTCAGTGCTCCAGTCGACAAGTTATTACTGGTTAAGAAAACGCCGCGCCATCGCCGCCGAATCGGCGGAGCGGCAAATCGCGATTCTCTTGCCCGTCTCCTGTTGTCGGTAGACCTTGAAGAGGATTGGCGCTAATGAGTCCGCCCTCCGGATCAGAGCACACTGGGTCCTTACGTTCCTTTTCTTAGGAAAAAGTTCCGCGTATGCTTGAGAAACAAGTTCATTGTCCTCCACAAAAAGCACATATACCGCCCATAAGTGATAGAGTGAAAGTAAGCACCTCTTATTGAGTAGTTCATTTTCTCATTGATTGCTGGTAAGAAGCCAAGGTAAATTCGTGTCAAAGAAAAGCACTGCAACTGTTTTTGATTATGACAACATGGTTCAGAAATTGACTTTAAAAAAGCTCTCCTTCTGAGATCACAAAGGCGTTCCAGAGGAATGGAACTGCACGAGAAGAAAGGGAAAACACCAGTCGGGTAGATGAAAAGACTCGTTAGTGGACACATCAGACTGAAAAGTTCCAGCGCACTCGTTACGTCCCACTTTTGAACAGCTGATGTGATCCGCGATTAGCTGAGGTGTTTATGACCGTAATTAATGACACCTTTTGCCAGGCGCCGTGACAAAGGACAGTATGAGGAGAAAGAGCAGTATTGTGAGATAAAGTTGATATTTACTCAGATCGAATAGCCCAGTGCTACCCATTGTGCTCAGAACTAGAGCAAAGCCAATGGCACTAATTTTAAGTTTTTTAGTTAACCCTTACTATGCTCTGGGAGCTATACTGGATGAATACTGATTAACACTTTTACTGAAACTGGTTAGTCTTTGTCCAGGAACTGGATCCAAAGTGGATCTACGGAGCCCGACCCATCCGTAGAAGTTCACCTATCTCCTTTTCATTTGCGTAAAAATGTCGCAGCGCTTGGTCGTCAAAAGGGAAGCATTGTAAGTTGTAATACTGTAAGGACCAACTGGTGTGAAAGTCAAGGTTTTCTCACAGATGAGTTTGGTACAAAGCCCCATTACCCGGCCTTACCGGCCTTGAAGGACCGAAGATCTAGTTGGCGCGGCAAGAGGTCAAACGGTATCTCGCCTCCGAAACACCATCCATCCCCAATCGCGCGGCCTAATAACCGGCGCCAGTTGCCGCTATGCCACCCTTACTCTGATCAGTTATACCTTCCAAGTTTTGTGGAGTAAACCAGTGTACTATTAAGCGTCTTCGATCATTCAAGATGAAAATGATACCAGCTGAAATAGTCATTTAGGAAGGTACGCTTTCTCGCCCTGTGCGGAATTCGACTTATGTTCTGGTTCTCGGGCCATGCATTTGTGAGCTGCGCTTTCTTCAATGGCCCTCATGACAACTCATACAATGATGTTCACAGTCCATTGATCATGGCAAACCACTTCACAATGACATCACTTGGCACTGACATCCTAGTTGGATCAACTTCAGCAGAACTAGCGTGCAATTACGGTCTCCCTTTTCTTTACCAGCGGAAGAACATCACTATAAGGCAAACGGGAGGACAAAAGACCCGCTGCTTGTGGTAGCAGTCCAAGGATGTAGTCGAGTACTTCCCACAGGTTTTGTTGTGAGATGCGGGTTCGGGTCCCGCCTAGGGCACGACTTTTGCCCCAACTCAGCATTCTTGTGATAACTTCCCACAGGGTTTTCAACATAATACTTCTTGGAGTGGGGTCAGCGCCAGATCTGGCTTGACAAAAAACCATTAACTCCGTTATTGGCTGTCATAAGTCATGAAGCTTGACGGCGGATAACGCAGTCCGAAAAAAGAGAAACCAAGCTAGTTCACTAAAAGAACTAAAGTTCAATTGAAACATGCTCTTACAAAAACTGCGAGTTATGGGCCAAAACTTGACCCGGACAGGATTCAAATTTCATTCTCATAATTAGCGGTCTGATGTGCTGGAAACTTGTGACCTTTAAAGGCAAGTGGCACGATAAATCCCCAAGAGGTGTAGGATAAATACGGCTGGCAGTATAGAATTCGTGGCTCCTGAGCAGGTGCTGCATGGCGCCTTTCCAATGAAGGTAAATACTTTCATGGCGTCCTAGCAAACTGCAACATACCGATCGGGATGACTACCGTGCCCGCCTACAAATGTTCGACCGATGCTGGTATCGTATCGCTTCCTTTGTGAACTACAAATAAGTGCAGTTCGCTGCGGACGTTTGGCCTGTCAGGGGGTATGGTTTGGCGTGGTGCCAAACAAGCGTAAAGCGAGCCAGTGATATGACTGTATCATACCGTTCGTATTACTAGTTTTCTACCTCTTTTTGTCGCACGCGCGCTTCAACAAGAAGGCAGGGAACGCGACAAGACACACGACAGCATGTCAGGAGTATGACACACTCATACTGCCTGACACGCCAACCGTCGCAGCTAGTAACTAGAATTCAATGAAACGGAGGGGTTTGAGATGAAAACTACTGTGCTCCATGGATATGATGAGTACATTACACACAGCCCCTGTCTACGCGCTACTGCACGATTCGTCCGAAAATGCTCTTTCATTGCCTGCAGAACGCGTAGCATTGAACGAATATTTTTCGCGATTCTTGACCGTTTCACTTCGCTTTTCCGATGAATTTCCCACAACATAGCACCCCTGCTACCATTTTAGAGCGAGACATAAAACATGAGGGATTTATGATTCGGCAGAGGTTGAATGAAAAATGGCTCTCCGAGACCTGCAGATGCAGATGGAGTTCTGTTGTCTCACGGTCTAATGACTAATGAGTCCCTCAATTTGCTTCTCAGAGATTTTTTTGCACTAATCTTCACTCAAAATGGATGGCTTCACTAGGTCAGAAGAGTATAAAGAGACCAGAGGGGTTGGATTATCAGAAACATTGGCGGCAAAGAGAATGAAGAGAGAGGGCGTGAAATCGCTATAGAGAGGGAGCATGTGAACAGCTGAAAATCAGAAAAAGAGCGTCGAAAACAGAGTTGTGAATGTCAGACCACATGGCCGCTCTGAATCACAGAGGGTCTAGTTTGAAGTTCAGAAGGTTCAAGTGCTCGACCATCTTTCCCAAAGTTCCCCAAAAACAACAACAACAAGGGCATAAAAAGATATGGGATAGACGAGGGAAGTACTGCGAGGGCATCGTTTTTTGTGGTGACTGGGAGAACTGAGGGTCAGACTAGCACGTACTCTGCGAGTATTGCTTAGAAAGTTAGAAGAAGATGGATGAGTCTCCTCTCCTACTGCAGAGAGCGACCACCTGCGAGCAGGACGATTGTCGTGAGAGCACACGACATGTGTTCTGGAAGATCAAGAGCTATACACCAGCTTTGAGGAATTTGCTAGGGCGCATGTGTCGAATCGGATAGTAAAAGATCGCTGAAGATGGATGAGAAAGCAAAACGGAGCTGACAGCAGAGCGCAAAACTAGGTTTTGTCCAGATTTTTTCAATCTCCATTTGTTTATGTCCCCAAACGCAACCCTTAGCCCATGAAAAACTCCAGAAAACAAATGAGATCGGGCCAAACTTGAAGAAAAGAACGAAGAAACATAGGGTAATTCATTACCTTTCCCTTTACCGCACTTTGCCTCGTCGTAAAAAGAAACAGAGGGCATGA